CCCCCCCCCCCCCCCCCCACAATATACAAAGCCATTGTTGTGTAGGTCTCATATGCGCATTAGGTCAATCCCTGTCCGAAATGCTCTCATACCTTCCCTAGAACTCGGAGGCCAAACGTAGGGCATTGAAGGGTTCGGAGGCGGGTCTTGACTTGAGGAGGCAATGGCGGAGACAAGCGTAGTCGTTGATGGCCCCGTCTTGCCAGTGGGACCCACTGAATCCTCTTCGCTGCCCGTGATAGCCAAAGGTTCGGTTGTGCTTTTAGCTCTCAAGTTGCCGTGCACGAAACTGCAAACCACCACCTGAAATAAAATGACAATCGCGCCATTCATTCTCTTGGTTGGTTGCAGGTTGAGGAAATGTTTTTATACTCTAACAATGAAGAAGCATAAACAGGAAAAAGGAGTTTCAAACCAACTCAACCACAAGTTCAAGATTGTGGATGTAATGCGAGGAGGGGTTTCAGACTAGGAACCCATGGCCATATATACTACTTCCTCCGTCCTATAAAACATTTCCTCTTTTGACTTTTGGGAAGGGAGTTGTAGAAGTTTGACCAACCCACCAAGGTGAAATGATGACAATAGAAACGAGTAGGGCTCGAAAAATGTCAAAATGGATAGGGCGTAGAAGCTAGTTGGGATATGTTCGGTTAGATTTAAGAAAAAAAAGGGACACTGTGTTCATTTAGGCCAAATTGAAATGTTTTATGGGACATGTAAGATGAGATTGTTGAAAAGTCTTACGAGACAGAGGAAGTATATAAACATTGCGTACAAAAAGAATGAGAGAAATTTACCTGAACTGGACTTGCTGCAATGATTTGGCCACCAATTTCACCACCAATGACATGCCCGTCCGGGCTGCTAATGGAAATGCTTAAACCACCAGTCCGGTTCTTAGGGCCGCCGGTTTCAGAAACCAAGAACGATCCAGTCAAGGAGAGCATTTCAAAACGGCCCTAGAAAGGAAACGACGAGCTTTATATATATATATATATATATATATATATATATATATATATATATGGGTGGGTTCTAATAAGAATGATCTTCTACGAAAGAAATAAGAATAAATGAGATCCATTGATCTCAAACAATCAATGGATGGAAGCCTTTTACAAAATGGACGGCACCAAGATTTTATAAGGTAAGGAAATCAAATCATTGATTGTGAATTAAAATCAAAGAGTAATAGGGGCAATGTTGTAAAATCGTATTGCATTTAAAATGGTCATGGATGACACGCAACTATCCATTTCCAAAATTAATGCTTTCCATATCATTTGACTCCCACTTGGATTCTTTTTTGGATATGATATCACGTTTTTATCTTTTTTTTTTTTTAATTTTTCTCTTTTATTTTTTTTTTGTCAATTTTCTTCAATAAAAATTAATATTCAATATTTTTTCTATTGCACTCTTTATTCCTCATATGCATTATTTTAATGCATTTCACACGGTGGAAAAGATTTACTCCCTCCGTCCCTGAGTGTTGTCCACTTTCATTTTTGCACACCATCCAATGAATTCTTTAATCCATTTTATCTTGTAATTTGTATATTAAAAAAATTATAAAAATTATATATTAATAATATATATGTTAAGACGAATCAAACAAGATCACACATGACTATTTTAATGCTTACACATTGAGAGAATTTGATGAGTCAAAGTGCTTAGATGAACAGTTCCAAAAGTCAAAAGTGGACAAATACTCAGGGGCGGACCAAGTATTTATTTACTTTGATTTTTTTTCAAATTTATAAATAATACTTTCTTGTCATGTTATTTTTATCATTTTTTGGTTAACTATATTTGGTTATTTTTTTTATATTATCACATTTTT